GAAACCTTCAGGTCAGGTTGGAGTGGGCTCTGAGCAACCTGATCTAGTTGAAGATGTCACTGCCTACGGCAGGGGGGTTGGACTAGATGACCTTTAGAGGTCCCTTCCAACCCAATCTATTCTATGGTTCTATGATTCTATGAAATAAGTCTCCTGAAACTGGAGGAAAGAAAAAAGAAGGATTGGATATGTACTTTTATTTACTTTTTGAACTGCATTTTAATACGTTACCTACTCTAAGGTTAATAATTCTTTTTCTGAAATATCATAACTCAATAAACTATGCAAGAAACATTAAAATAGAGATTCAACAGGGTACTCAAAAGAAAATGGCTTTCTCCAACTTGGAGTAATGGCAGGTAACTATAGCCTACAGAACTTATCTTCCAAAAAAGAGCTTTTGTATGAGCAGTTCCTTCCATTTTCAGGAAGGGCTAAACACAATTTCAAAGCCAGAACTAACTAGAACAAAATGTATATTTTTTCCTTTACAAGATGAAGATACACTTGAAAATTTTAACTGTCCTGCAAAATTAGAGAAGATAAAGACTTGGTCTGCATTGCTGACACTGGAAACAGAGCTGTGTGCAAAGCAACCCCATTAAAATCCCAGCCAGTGGAGCCCCAGCCTTTTTGCATCTCCAGCAAGCTGTCAAAGGTTATAACCTCCTTGCCAATTAAAACAGTCTGAATTGTTAAATTATTCAAGAACCTGCTGATTATTTATTGCTTCTAAAGTACTTCTGAGTTAAAGTTGATGCGCATTAAGTTTCTTAGGCATATATTATTTTCTCATTTTTAGTCAGACTTTTCATTCCAATTAATTTCATTAAAGGATTTCCCTCTCCCTCAAAATTGAAACCTCATCAGATAGTACAAGCACAAATCTAGTCTGAAAGACAGACTAAGCTTTTCTTTGAGGTCACTTACGATTTCGAGCTCTCAAAAAAAAAGAGAAAGTTGGGTGGTATCACCTGATCTAGTCACTTTTACAAGCTACAAAAAGCTTCTTTCCTTCTTTCAGAATACAACCCTTGCCTTTGAAATATTGGGTTTTTTCAATGCTTATTCCAAACTTAAGATAGCCGACATTTTGCTTTTATGTATGTATTAAAAATATTTTTTCATATATTTTTATATATTGTTATAGTATACATAGTATTATTATATAACATAATAATATATCATTATAGATAAAATAAGTATATTCTTATATAAAAATAATTATATAAAATATGAAATCTTATATTATATAAGGATAAAATATATTCTTATAGAAAAATAATATATACTATCTATAATATATAAGCTAATATGTAAGATATAAATGTATTTTTCAGGAATAAATTTTTCTGACTGCTCTGCTGAAGACTCCTTACCTTCATTCATTTTTGGCAAATAATACAGAACTGGAAACCCTAATTATTTGAGGTACACACCGTGAACAGACATTAACTCAGTTCAGTTAGCAGATCACAAAACATCTGTTTCTATTTTTCACACAAGTGCTTCAATTATAAATATTGTCATGCCAGAAGCTCAAACTTCAGTATATGGAGCAACAAAACAAAAGTAAAATTTCACCTGGCATTCCTCCGACTCTTCTGTAGTCACTGGAAGAATAGAAGGCTTTGCTGGTAATTTCAGTTCATATGACATTATACTCCACCTAAAAGAAACATAACAGCTTTTACGTTTCCAGATTATTAGTTTTATCTTTTCTTCAACATATGAACAAAAAGAAACTTCAGTGTCACACCGACTGTTAAAAAAAACCCAAACAAAGCATCTTAATTTTTAATTGTGTGCTAACTGAATATGGCTGAAATAATTGAGACTGAAGATAATAATTGGTTTTATTGCTTACATTTTTTGTTAGTGATTTGATGATGAGCCTTCTTTGTGAACAAATCATGGGACATTCAATGCAGGCAAGAAAGATTTTCTACCAAAACATTCACAGTATAAGAGAATTCGTGCAAACTAATTGCAGAAGTCAAAGGAAAATATATGTGTTACTAGACAAAAAGCTCCAAGGTAGCATTAGCTTTTCATCTCAACTAGGGGAGGGAGGCATGAGAACAAAGCAAATGGTGAACTATCTTCATTGACATATATATATTTTTTCCCCTGGTAAAGGACAGTGTTCTACAGCGTAGATAGTATGAAATCGCTAATAGCAACATCCTTCAAAGCCTGCTGAAAAGAACAAGTAATCACTGCAGATGGCCTTGGGGAGCAAGTCTACAGAAATTAGAGCAAAAAGAGACACTGAGCTTTTTTCAGCACAGAAAAGACAAACATGATTTAATCTACAAATCTTTCAGAATGCCCAGGCCAACAATTATTTCTAAGGATCAGTAACAAGCATTTCTCTATGTACTTTGCTGTAAAATGATCAAGTAGTATGCAGAAAAGCTTAATGTAAAAAAGGACTTGTTTCTCTATCTCATAAAAAAAACCCTAAAATAAAATCCTCTTTGATCACATTCAGGTGTTTGTAACTACAGCAAGAACAGAAACACCCATGAGAGAAAGGAACAGAGTAAGAAATACTCCTCTCAGAAACAGTGTGTTACACCTTCATTGGAATGACATGACCACCACCTTCTCTGACTTTTTGTAAATTGGGATTACTCCTTTGCTTTATGGATGGAAATGACACAAAACAAGGAGTGGGAAGATCTCTTGTTTTTGACTAAGAAAATGCCTCCAACAAAAATATTAGTAGTGGATCAAGCCAAAGATCCACTTAGCCCAGCATCTTTTCCATGAAAGCACATGATGAGAGTTCTCCCCACATCCAAGGACAGAAAGCTCAGGTGTTTCCTAAATAAAGATGCTACCTTTAACGGTATTAAATAGTGGGCATGGAGTCTGTAAAACTGCCCTAAATGGTTTTGAATATATACAATTTCTTAATGCTTACAAATTCTTGTAAGAGGCAGTTACGCAGCTTCACCAGTTATGCAATAAACTGTCTCCTTTGTTCACCTTTGGACAACACGCTTCCTAAATTCATCAACCGCTCCCCCCTCTGACTCTTCAGTTTAAAAAGGATGTTGAAGAGCTGTCCCCATTACTATCTCAGCTTCCCTCATGATTATGATCTGCACTGTAAAAACCAAAACCACTGAACATTAAGTCTCTAGGATGGATTTAGGCCATCAGAAACCCAAACAAATACAATTTGAATTTCATGGTAAATCATGTATATGCACGTTTAGGTTTACCTGTCTAACATTTTCGTGCTGGCTCGTTCTAGTTTCTCCAAAATCTGAGGAAGTTGTGTATCATCATCACAGGATCCTCCCCAACCAAGGACACGAGCAAGGTCATTTCCAGTACCAAGGGGTAACACTCCTAACTGACACTGAAACACAACACAGGAGCAAATCTACTATTGAAAACTAGCAAGAAAAAGTACAAACTATTACAAATGCTTGTTATTTCAAGCAACAAATGTTAATTATACAGCTGATGCCTAAAGCTCAAAATCAAATTGTGTAATCCAGATACAACTTGTCCTGTTTACACCAGTGAAAATTTTCATTTATGAGTAACTATTGAGTTTGGCCCATATCCACATATATGACAAAGAACCAAGTCAAGGAAAAGTAAGGGCACAAAATTAAGTCTAGTAAGTATAGTCAAGGAAAGTAAGTATACACACTTGCCTGTTTGTGCAAGCTGAGCTTATCAATTTCTGACAAGACCCAACCCACGCTTCCATCGCCGCCACACACAAGAATCCTAAAGTTGTCAAACTTCTGAAATAACCGCAAACTGCAGAGAAAATGCAGCCTGTTAGGGCCAATTATGTCCATTAGCGAGAGAGCAGTTATATTCATCAGCAACTGTGACATGAAAATATGCTGCATGGCACCTTTATGGTGGTTCTTTCCTTGTTCTGGGGTATGTTGATACAACCAATTACTTAATAAACCTATCTGAATCCCATCTATTGCTGTATATTCCACTTATACTGACATTTCTGATAAATAACATGCCGAGTTTTACTTTTAAAAAATTTCCCTTGATATTGTTTTCAGGATTTTATTAATATTATTTTATTAATTTTATGACTAATAAAAAAAAGTCTTTCTAAGCTATGAAATTGCAACTGCTCTATGCTTCCTACTTCAGCCAGAAGAACAAGGCACCACGGGGAATTTTTCACGAGAGGAGGTTAAGACACAACGACAGGATGTGCTCCACAATACGGATGGGCTTTTGCCAACGTGTGACTAACCAAATGCAAGGACAGTTGGAGGCAATTATTACACATAAGGTGATCACAACAATGTAAGACAAATAATACTAGTATTTCATACTAAATCCTTAAAGCCGTATCCTGCTTTCGCTTCCTACAGCTCTTCCTCCTGTTCTCTGACTTTTAAGACTTACAGGATACAACACTTGGGCACTACAGAAAAGGAGGACAAGAGAGACAGAACAAGCAGAAAGGTGAGACACAGAGGAAAGGGGAGTGAGATGTGAAGAAACAGCCAAGAGGTAAAAACAACAGGGATTTAAACTAAAAAAAAAAAAAAAATTGGAAAGTAGAAACTCTTAAAATAATAAAAATAAATGTTTATTTTTAATGCATGTTATTTTCCAGAATATGTATAATCTCAGAAATATTTCTAAAAAGCAACACATTAAGATCACAAATTTTTGAAGCATTTATATTTTTTCTAAAGAAAATAATGTCACTTATATATGATAAATAATGTCACTTGTATATGATAGGCAGATACCTATTCAGAACAAAAGATGCAGATATTTAAGGGAAAAAATGTCGATACCAGAACAATTTCTCCTACCCTGAGAAAAGAGAGAAAAACCCCTAGAAATTCACTATCTCAAAGAATACAACTCTGCTTTTTAGATCAACTAGAAAAAAGAAGACATCAGCACGACCTGATAGAATAACTGCTAAGGATCTCTCCTTGGAAACTGGGAAAAATATTTAAAAGCAACCAACCTGACCTAGCAAAGTGGGCCTCCTGAACCATGCTGCTGGTAGGTACAACTAGATGAAACAAGAGAACTTGCAAACAGACAGACAAATTTTTTCAGACTGTCCTCTCTCAAAAATTGTCTCTCCAATTGAGATGAACCTTCTTTACTTTTATCCGTCATTATAATTACATGTATGAAATGTTAGCCGAAAGGGACTTTGATTGAATTCAGATTTAAATCAGGGTTATAATGAAAAGAATATTACAGCTTAAAGAATTAATGTAACATGTCCATAACATAGTACTAACTATAAAAATCCACATCTGTATTCCATTATATTTGTATTATTTGCCCACTGTTTGAACTGAATTTTTGTGCATTTGTTTTGTCTATATTCTTATCATGTAAGCATAATTCTGCATCTTTAAGAGTACAAAAATTAGTGTTTCTAGTTGCTGTAACTGATTTTAATAGGCCATTTAACCACAATGCTACATCTGTGTGGAATTAAGTTAGGCAACAGAAAAATATGCATGAATTTAATCTTTATGAATGTGCAAAGATGCTTGGGTTTGTGGCCACTGCTATGCAAATTTCATCCCTGTCTCTCCAGTAATCAGCCCTTAGATTTTGCAGAATGCCTGATGGTTTTAATTGTGTTCTTGCTCCAAATTTTGTGAGATGCTCATTTTCTTGACCATTTGCGTATGTTGCCTAAACCATATTTTGAATGTACTTTTCAGATGACAAAAGTTTTAGTGTACTCGTCCATCACCCACTGCAGACTCCCCCGCTGACATTTGTGTTCAGAGTTCAAAAAGATACAGAGTACATTTAGACAATAGTTTTATTCCATAGCTGTTCACAACAAAGTCACAGGAATATCTGAATTACGCATACGAAATGGAAGAAAAGCACCTGGGCAACTGTGCATAAAGGCCCTGATTCAGGAAAGCATCAAAACGTTCGTAACGGTTTTGAACCTTACCAGTTAACAGAAGTCAAAGCTAGCCAAAAAGCCACAAAACACTTGGGCTGATAGGTTTTGGTTTGGAATTTTCAAATGAGTTTTTCTAAAAAGAAAATATTATCCTACAATCCCTTCACCCACCGGAATTCACCCTGAAATTCTGTTATCTCTTAGATTTTAATTAGGAAGTCACAGGTAGATATTGGTGATAGAATTATCACAATGAGGGGACAACACAACACTATACTTCACACTAAATTCCCTTGCGGAAAGGATTGCTCAAGATTTCCAAGGTCATTACCCTAAGTGAGGTCCTCCATTCATTAAATCGAACACCTGAGCTGGATTTAACGACTGTTTGAATCGACGAAGAAACTTTACTCCCTGATTGTCTCCACTCTTTGAGTTAACAAAAACTAAAAGAGGACTGGCACAGGATGGCGGGCATGTGGCTTTCCAGAAACCTGTGAACATAGTTAGAAAGAATGAAATAAATAAGGCTTTCTAATATGAACAACACAAAAAGAAATCATGGGAAAGAGGAAGAAAGGGATGAAGGACAAAAGGCGTACATTTTATCATGCATAATGTAAATGCTAAACTGAGTATTAGCCCTGCAAAGAAAACAGAATTGCTCAAGATTTAGCAGTTCATTTTTTCTTTCCAGTATTCTCAGTGCCTAGATTTAGTAAAATCCTGAAGACAATAGCTTTATTGTTTTTCCACAGTGAAAAAGTTTATTAACCTTTTAGAATACTTCTCGAATCTCATCCTCACAGATTATCACATAATTAAATATATATTTCAGTTACAAGCCTTTGGTTTTTAATCTGATTTTTCATTAACCTTACTGGGTTCAACTGGATCATCCACGTCTGTATGAGCTTTCTAAGAGTACTCACAGATTTTAAAAGTTACTGTACTCAGTTGCTCCCAGGTGAGACTTTGCATGAGAACTTTTTTCTCAGACTGAAGTTATACTATTAATTATAATAGAATCACTGAACAGCAGACCTTCAGCTGTGATCCAAACCTTATTAAAGTCAATGCAGGTCTTAACTAATTACAGCAGGCTTTCTATAAGGCCCTTAGTAAGCAGTACTAATTGACACTGTTGTCACTAACATGACCAGTCCATGGAAGTAGTGGTTTCTCAGCAACACTTCAAAATCAGACATCACAGGTATAGGCTTTGACATTTGTTTCAGGCAATATTAAAATGACTGTGTTGTTTTCAATCACTAAAAAAATTACTAAAGCTACAAATAAAAAATTGGCATTAAAGGATGCTAATTTAATTCCACATTATCATAATGTATAATTTAAAATAAGGTTTGATTAATTTATTTAAATGCCAATAAAAATAATTTCACATATGGAACAATCTTTCTAGCATGAATAATAAATAGCAGCATGACGCTCTGGTCTAAGACACCACACAGCAAGTAAAGAGAGTGAATATATACAACATAAACAATCACTTTTACTGACTTCATACAATAAAATTCATTAAATTGTGTTAAAGTTGTTGGTCTACATTTGCCATCAACACAAACTATAAAATTAAAGCAATTAGATTTCATGATACTCCTTATTAAATCCACTCCCTGCCTTTGACTGCAGTCTCCCACTGCTCATGCGTCTCTTATTCTGAGCCACCAAAGAGCACCTCTGAGTTTTGAATGTTTGCTGGGTTTTTATCTGTGCGTTGCAGGATTCTTACACTGCTTATATTTAAAAGAAATTTAGAGAAGCTATGGAAGCAATTCTTCTCTTTAGCCTGGTAAAGTAGTTGTTGGATCTGAGCCATTCAGCTAGCTTACCTCTGCATAAAGCCAAGTTATCAAAAATTTGAGAACTCACAGAATGAGTGATGCATGCCAGGCAGGCATCAGCCCACTTCGTCTGAGGACTCTGGTCATTCACTTGAAAAGTTTCCAAGGCTCATAAATAAAACGGGAGAAAATTTCTAGTGGGGAACTTTCAAAAACATTTTTTAAATCATGTCGGTTAAATAATCCTTTAAAAAGCTACACGGAAAATTATACTTTTCTCTAAATTTGAAGACTGCATTCACCTGCTCAGCAGAAGGATTTTAGCCTTGTTTCGTTATACAGATCTCACTAGGCACTGCAAGTCCAGAGCTACCACTGAACACGCTACAATACTACGTACCATCAGAGTCTATACTGTTTAGTGCTGTTGGAGGTATGATCGATACCTTACATTGGCCAAGTGGACATTTACGAGGATACAGATCTTTACAGGCAGTGTGAACCTACAAAAGAAACAAAAAATTATTTCC